TGCCGATAACGACCGTTGGAAGACGCTAAATCTCAAGGAGGTTACACGATCGCTCTCCCACGTGTAACGTCACGACAGTTGGTGGGGATTCCGTGGATTTAAATAATCCAAAAGAACACGACAACATACTACAGATTAATCAGTAATTCCGGTAGCCAGAACAACAGCAAAAATCCAAGAAAACGCGAAAATTTATTCCGACAAATTTGCAACCGTGGATAGTCCAAATTTGACAATCCTCCAAGGCACAATCACTTACAATACTGCTCAGTATTTCCGACACCTCTTCGCACACGAAAAACTATCAGCAAATTCCCCAATTCTTCAGCGAGCGTTAGAACACTTCCCGTGTAAAGCCTGTTTCCGGTGTCACCCGATAACCCAAACGCTCAGCCCAGAATTCCAACAATTTCTAAATACTATCGAACCGTTAGACCCAGTTTACTCACAGCAAACAGTAGACGCGTTCGAAGAATTTCTGCAATTCCGAGAAAGTAAAATTGCAGCCGTTAAACTTTTCAGGAGCATAGTTTTCCGAGCAACACCAAAACGAGTAGGCCGTATAGTAACAAATTTAAGTTCAACGCTTATTTTTGACATCCATCACAACGAAGTAAACGAACATCCCTCGACCGCAAACCTTACAACTTATTCAGAAGACGTTGACGATTATATTCATCGATTAACGCGCTCAGGAACAAACTCATCGTCACAACCTACTCTTACGGAAAGAACCAAAAATTTCGTAGGATTATTCTTTAACCAAAAGCCAAGCAGTCTCGGATCATATAGTCCAAAATCGGATACGCAGTCAGACAAACGCGCAGAAAGTGAATACCCCGAAGCCGACCTCGACAATAACGGAAACAGTTACGAGACAGTCACAACTACACCCCCGCTTACCCCTAGTCACTCTGCATTAGAATACAACTTAGCGGAAGTAACTCACAGTGCTCAGCAATTATATACGTCTACAATATTAACACAGCAACCAGAACCTTCTACCACAGACAAGAAAAATAAGGGCAAACAGAAACAAGAAAAACCTGATATTTTGGTAGTAGCAGACATCGACCCCGAACCCGTAACACCAGTAAAGAAAGTTCAAAAACCAAAGGAAGCCAAACCACCCCAAAGTTCGCCAATTCAAATAGCAGTACCTAATCCGAATCCGCCCATTAATAATTCCCCGCAACAACAGCAATTAGACGACGACGAAATGGCACAAACAACCTACCCAGTTTTCGACGGCACTAATCCGCGTAAGTGGATTTTTGATCTAGAGATAGCTTTTATCGCCAATAATATTCAGGATGCAGCGAACGCGAGGAAAATAGGCCTTGCCGTGATGAATTTAGGTCCAGCGAAAATGTGGTACGTTACCCTTAATCCTAAGCCTACCACCTGGATCAGAGCCAATGGTGTCGACGGTTTTAAGGAGTTATTCCTAACTAAATACGCGACGGAAGCAAATAAAGCCCAAGCATCCCAACAAGCGCAAGCAAGAATACGAAGACCAACAGAGAAGGTAAATGATTACTTAAGCGCATTGGAAGAAATTTGGATGGAATGCGGCGACGCTGCAGTTATCCCAGAATGGATGAAAGTGAGCCAGTTCACTAGCGGGTTGTTGCCAGCTATTATATTGCCGGTTAAGCAACAGGCACCGCAGACCATGGCCAATGCCGTTCAAGCCGCGACAAACTGCTATTACGCGTTGCAGTCAACAATGCAACCATCCCACAGCGCGGAAGTCAATAACGCGCTACTAGAGAAAATTTCAGCATTGGAAGTCCAACTGGCAGAGTTGAAGATTTCTCCGGCCAACACGAACAACAATAATAATCGGGGATTTCAGCAGGGCGGCAGCAGCAACAGGCGAAATGGGCCCAGATGTCATTATTGCGGAAATAACGGGCATATACATCGAGAATGTAGAATCAAGGCTAGAGATATTAGGCAAGGGAGAAAGCTCAACTGGGCAGTACCAAGACAGAACAATCAAGGACAGGGAAAAGGCCAGCCACGTCAGTAGAGGGCTCTGACAGTGGCAATCGTATAAGACCCTCACAAGGAGCAAAGCAGTATGGGGACTCTGACGTTTCAGGACCTACATATTGTAGCGCTTTTGTGGAGGAAGTGGAGAGTAGGATTCTAGTCGATACTGGATCCTCGGTGACGATTATTTCTAGTGAATATTTTGACCTTATCATTGGAAGAATGAAGAAAAAACCTATACTTGAACGTTTGAACTATCAAATACAGGGAGTAACAGGACATAGAGAACGACCTAGAGGAGAAGTGAAGAACTTACCATTAAGATTCAAGAGAAACGGACCAACATGGGGACTAAATGCTTGTATAACAGAAGCAGCAACAGCAGATATAATATTAGGCACGAATTTTCTCTTCACCTTTCTCAATTTTTCTATTGTCTGTTGCTGGTTAAATAACATCCTTCTGCATAGCCATTTTAAAGTTTTTTCACTCATGCCATTCTTCAGCTTTATCTAGTGCTTTCATGGACATTTTCTGTTTTATTTCTGCTCTCTCTTCCAATTCTTCTATTCTGTCATTTTTTTCTTCTAACTTTACTTCCAATTGCTTATTTTTCAAATAATTTATTCTTTTTTTGCTCTAAACTAGTTGTTAAGAGTTGTAAATCTTTAACTTCTTTATCAACTTTTACATATAAATCAAGTGCATTCTTATACAAGTAAATAAGACGAACAAACCTTTTTCTAAATTGTTTATCTTCTAAGTGTTTTAATGTAAAGTCAAAAGTAATCCTTAACTGCTTTTATCTCTGCCTCACTTGGATTTCGGTTTAAAATACCGATTAATTTTTTTATTTCCTCTTCAGTTAAAATATTGTTTTGATTTTAATTTCTATTATATTTTAATATTAAAAAATTAAATCGTAAAGAATTTAATAGAACTAATAAAGTAATAAATTTTGCGGTTGACTGAAATATTTTTATTCATTATCAGTATAGATTGGTTTGGGACAAGTAATACCCTTGAATTCGTCTCTAACAAATGGGCGAATATTATGATAAAGATATTTTTGTCTTTTATAATCCAAAAGAGGCGAAGTTAAAACTAAAATAGAAAAATATGTAATCTCTTTGGTAATTTCGAAAACACTTGTTTTCAATAAATTAAATTCAGTATACGAACCATAGCAACCAGCTGGGCTTTGACAACACTAGGGTTAGCTGCTTCAAATAGAAAATGCTGATATTTTTGCAAACCATTCAATTTCGTAAAGAAAATTCCCAACACGGAATTAAGATCTAAGTATTGAAAACCTTTGCTATTTTCATAGCACTGAGCTTTGTTTAATCCTGCTGTACTCGATTTTTTCACAACCTCAACAATATGACCCAAGCAATCTAATGTTGTCTTTCTATAGAGTTTTTTGATCAGTCCAAAACTACCGTCACATCTGAATTTAGTATGTCCCGGTACCATGAAATTTAATTCGATACTTTCATAATAACCGCAAATTACTAAATATAAGTAAAATTAAATAGTGGCGTTATTTTTATTCTGCCCTCCCGCATTATCACAAGTAATTTTAAACGTTTTTCGTCTTTATTCAATCGCTTAATCCCATCGAATACCATGCTCAGCGTACCATTAGGACCCTTGCAGATAATTTCGTCTTCATCACGAACGTAATTAATTTGTTCGCGTGCGGCTTCATCTTGGATACCAAATAAATGTACTTTACGCGGACTGAGATAGTAAATCTGTTGATCGGAATGGGGTACGTGAACGTTTTGCGCTCAATCGTAACAGTAGCGTCAACACTACAATAATCAGCTTTACCTCTTCTAAAATGCTCATTTACCGATTTCCTCTGTTGTTCTGCTAATTTCGTGTTTTTGGTATAATAATTTCTTTCTAATTTAGCCTTAACTAAATGTTCTTTGTATTTTTTTAGTAAACCTTTCGCTTCTTCCTCCTTGCGAGCATTATACTGTAAGCCGTTCCGAAAATGTTGGTATGTGTACTCATAATTTGAATATAAGGCGTTAATTGGTGTCATAACTTGCGAAACGCATCGTATTTTAACAGTTTCAACGTGCTGTCGTTTTCTAGACCTGCAATAAAATTACGGTAGCACTCGTTTCAGCTAGCATTAGTGTAAGCGATTGAGTAATTCGGTTAACATTTCTACCAGGACTTGGTAATCCATGAATTTCAGCATAGTTTTCGAAAAAATTCTTCACCACGGTAGCAACAATGGTGATTTTGGCTTTCCATCGCGGTATTATACCATTCGTTGCTAGATGGTTTCGAAGTGCGTGCGACCAATTCCTAACATATTAAGATACGTTTTCTGACAAAGCGGCGTATTGCGATCTCAGCAGTAAAACGTTCTTTCATTAGTACGCGTTTTCTTTTTAAGACGTCGACTGGCAGTTATTTCTCCGCCATTCATCACTTTTAGTTGGGCCATTAAAAATATATCTTGCTCGGATCTAGAGAGAGCTAAAAATGCTTCACGTAATTCGGCAAACTTTTCTCTCGAAATCTTTTGAGAGCAACCACAATTGCAACCTACCTCTAAGAAACGCACTGCTTTTTCATATTCATTATAATTATAATTTTCCATATACGGGTATTCCTATATATTAGTTTTTAATATGTATCTTTACTGGAGCAGGATATGTAAAAAATCTTTATCATTTCAAGGGCAGCATAGCTTATTGAATTATCAGCAAACAAACATGAAGGGGCATAGAAATATAAGACTAATATATAGATAGAATAAAGCAATAATCCCATGTCAATCTTTATTATGTCCCGACACTTGTCAGGAAACGGTTTAATAATATTGTAAAACAGAATAATGCAAGGGTACACTATTTTAAAGCAATAACCATCGTTATACTTGCTAGGTGCAAAGTAAATGAATGCGTGCATATGTACATTTGTGAATGAGAACCACTATTTCTTTGAATTTATGAAAACACAAGTATTCAACTGATTGTGCAAGGTTATGCCGATGAAAGTAGTAATTGTAATTATGCATACCACCTTTATCGTTTCATTGCTTTTTTGCTTGGACCACTCAGCGCAGATGTTTCGTTCTGTGTTTGCGACAGCAACCAGATAATATGGCTGAGAACTTTGCCTGCCTTTTCCTTCATAGAAACATCAGTATAATCAACGACAACTGGTTGCGACAGCTTGAACGCAGGCGTTTCTCCATCATTCAGCGTACATTCAAGGAAGTACCATTTCTCCGCGTCGGTGACTATGCCGAAACATCTGGAGACGGTATTTACTTTGCTGGCTTTGCGCTTTCGGCTGGTCTATCATTGAAACTTGTTAATTCTACAAGAAATATATGTCAATTAAAGTTTCAGAAAACTTGCCAAAGTGGATTCCAGCTGCACAGCGTTCTGAGCGACGCCCTTCTCGAAGTCTTCTCTTTTGACTTCTGTAACACCCACTGTCTGCCCATCACGTGCATCTATTGCGAAATCGACAGGGCCCCTTCCATTGATACCCTCAATAAATTTTTCTGGCCAAATTTCGAAATTGTCCTCGAAAAGGCTCACTGCAGCAATTAAGTAAGAGAAAACATAAATCGACCTGGTCGTTCGGCCAAGGGATAAAAATCGGAGACGTTGTTTCAGCTCGACCAGAAGGTTTGAAAGCGCCATCTGCTCTGTTTCGCTGTTGATATTTGCGTGATTGCATTTGAAATCAGGGAATGAATCCAAACCAGGATCCATATCCTCAGTAATTGCAAATAGCCGGCATACATCTTTGAGTTCCCAGTCGCTGAAGAGTTTTGATGGTGTTTCCAGCGATACTGTGATTTTCCGTTTGTCTGCTGCCACTAACTGCCGTAGCATCTCCTGAAATGTAGCATCGCTCCGGGGACTATAAGCATCATCATCTTCCGTTACGAAATTGAAGGCGACACTTAGCTGTTCCAGGGCCGGATATTTTGCAAAGATAACGGACATCAGATCGGCGAGAGTCTCAGTGTTCGGGTTCGCGAGCCATATGAACGAAGACTTGCGGTTCGGTTTAACGATCAACTCAAATGCTTCCGAAAAAAAGGTTTCGATAATTAACACCCAGAGAGTTAGGACACCTGTTCAAGAAAAAAGATACCAACCATCAAAAATTTTTGTCGCTGGGCTGCCAGCTGGGCTTGCAGATTCTGTATCTCTTGACGAAGGTGTAATGAGAAGGAAGCATTTGTCAGTAAATATCATATCAAGATTGCCAATTCGATGGAAGAAAATATATATAATAAATTACAACCCAGATTACTTGTCTACTCTACCCTATGTACACTATGTCCCCAACGCCCGAGTCACAAAGTCGTTACCTGCAGCGCGTTCTCCAACCTGACAACTTGCACTTGGCGTGACGCCACCTGGCCTTGCCAGAACTCTATGTTTTTCTCCGTGGAGGCCTTGTCCAGTCTGCCGTTCAAGCTCTCCCGCGCTCCCTTCAACGCATCGTTGATATTGTCGTTGCTAGGCAGGTGAAAGATAGGAAAAAATTTTTTACGACTCCCGTTTCCATGGATAAATTAATTAATCACATGGTGAATGACATATTGCCTTCGTCAACTCTTCTTCGATTGTCGCCATCGTTAAGGGAAGATGCGCGATGTGATATAATACTATAATATATTAACAATTAATCAATGACGTAAATATTACAATCGTTGCGATTGCAGTAGAGTGACCAATGATAATTAATGCGCAGAAACGCGCCATATTGATCTATCCCTAAAGCCCATCTATTCTATAATAATCGTAATCACTCAATCAAATTTTTCTCCATTGGACAATTCGGTCTGCGACATCCACCAGTTCTTTGTGGTCGGGGTTCTAAAGTATCTGTATTCACGCGCCACCAGCGATGGCCAACTTACGTATTTACGCAAGATTTTATTATAGAAACAGCACTAGTCGCTTACATTCAGAAAAATCAACCACAACACAATAAATATTGTTAAATAGGATAAACAACATATCAAACAATTTTCATCGATTACACTTTGCAAAAATGTTTACGTTCACAAGCGAATTCTTTATCGGAGCGTTAATTGGCTTCGTTCTTGGTTTATTGGTAAATTGCCTCGTCTGTAATGATGGCTAACTCTATCATACTGGCGCATTACTGAGGACCAGAAAGTCTAAAAAGTTACAGCTGATAAGAAAACTCTCACCAAACAAAACTTACTCGCCAGACCTTGAAACATTGTGGAACGATCTAAGACAATTATACGATAAAAGAATTAAATTAAATCCAAATTTTTTATTTAAACAAATGGTGTTGAAATTTATAAATTACTTGAAGAAAAGCTGTTGCGGCTTCAACAATACGAAACTTTTATCTCCGAAGAACAATTCCGCGGAAAGGCAATCCAACGTTGGAAAGGAAAATGTAGATGGGAAAAATGAAACTGAAAATGAAAAAATTGATCATAGTAATAATAATAATAATAGTAATAATATAGAAGATAACGAAAGTTAAATCTGCACTAGAATGACCAAAGAATAGGTTATACTCATCAATGGCTTTGGGTCCGAGTATTTTTCTCCCATGCAATCACTCTGGTGCATTTAGTATTATTTATATTTTCAAGAGCGCGCGCATTCAATAAACGAAATATAAAATTTATGCTTACAAAAATTGAATTAAAATTGTGTCAAATTAGCGAAATATAATCAACGCTCAACGAATGCACTCGAGCTGTCTTTATCAATAAGGAACGAACTTTTGTTGACAAATCGTTCAATCAGTGGAGGCGTTTACGTTAAATTTATTTTCCTTGCGTTTCTTCAAGTTTTCTGGTTCATCATGTGTTGGTCTCGGTGTTAATGTTCGTTTAATAGTCATGATTTTTCGTTCTTGTTGGTAAATTTTATAAGTAATTTTCTCGTTATCTGGATATTGCTGGAGAGTTTGGGTATCAATTTTTTTCATGTATTTTATTGGATTTTACTAGCTGCGGTAATTAGAAATTAGTTCTCAAAAGATATATGAACGGTCGCTATCCGGCCTGATGTACTCATGCTTTTGATGTTTTACTCGGTTGAATGGTCTTGAGTTGTAGACTCTCAGCATCAAAAATGCTGTCGGCATATGATGTTTGGCACATATTGCTTTGAACGTCTAATGCTATTAGCGGCTGATATTGAGACTGATCATCTCGAACGTCTAATGCTTTTGGTATATGATGTTTATCGCTTAATGAACGTCGAATATTGCCTTCAGTATGAAAGGTCCGTGATGACTTGAAAATAAAATAATTTATAACTCGTTCTAAAAATAAATGATTGAAATCCAACCAACTTTGTACGCATTTAACATGATCGACCCTCATATCGACCCTGAATTTGATGATCGACATTAACATTGGATTTAACGTATACTAAATCTTGTTTCGCTAACGAGCGGTACTCAGTTATTGTATTGTAATCCGATAGTTATGATTGATTATTCGCAACGAAAGGTTGAAATGTTAGGTATTCTGAGAATCTCCGGAAAGGTTGAGAGTCATAAGAAAGCGATTAAAGTTAATGCTATAATTAGAACGTTCGTTCTTATTATAACGTTCGTTATGAAAGCGAATTAATGATGTTGCGTTAATAATATTATTTGTTTCAAAACGGGGACAAGCCTTTCCGTCGGCTTAAAGCGTAGTAATTTTACTATGTGCTCCTACGTTGCGAGCATTTAATAACTTTCTTAACCAACATGATAAAGGCTATGGTTCCGATGTGGTTAATGTGAATAATGTCGTATTGTATAATTATAATGGTTGGATAATTTGTAATTAATCGTTCGTCGCTCGAACGAAGTATTATTCACTTAACACATCGATGAAGTAATCTCATTGTTATATACATTATCATCGTTATTATCAACTGAGTATGGATAACATCTTACCTAGGGGATGAATAGCTCATGATGTCTATTGAATATTCGACAAGTTGAATTCCCTCATTCATAATTGGTTTGCTGTCTGATTCACAGAACCGGAATTTAACTCCGACGGTGATTAGTACTAATGGATCCATCGTTTAGCCTATAATATTGTATTCGTCAATGGATTAGTTACCGTTCCGTTGCGATGGCATTACCGCTCGACGCCAGGCGAAGAGTATTATAACATCGTTGAACTAAGTGATAGAGTATGGTTCTCTCACTCCTTAGAAGAAATGGTCGTTTTTCGGGAATATTCGTCTAGACCGTGATGAACGTTGAAAGCTATGCCATAGACGGCTATTATACTGTAGTTTATAGCGCTAGTCACATGGAGCCCATCACTGAAGCGATGCTGAGAAGAACCCTCAGGATAGGCCCATCGCGTTCACAATTTTAAAAACATAAGGTACAATTTTCTCTCCTTGTTCTTTTTTTAGAATGCTTCTAATTGTGCTGTAATTCTTGGGTTACATGATGGATTTGATGTAAATTAGTTTCATATTAATATTTTATATATAAACATAATCCTATATTAATCCCGTTATTATTATGGTTTATATTCATCACATTCTGGTATGATGAAATGAAAATTAAAATTAACAAGTCCATGAGCACATATTACTTTTCAAAACGTCATCAGTCACACTGGTTAATTTTACAGCCACATCATAATCAGCCCCTCATTTATAGAATGTTCACTCTGTCTGGTTTTGTTGCAGCATGCCCCATATGAGATGTCTTTGAATTCATACAGACAAAAAAAGATGCCTGACATCATGATTACTGCAGCAAGATTGATCATTTTCATCTTCTTAACAACATGAAACGACCAATTAAGGTCATTGCAGACAAATTAAATTGTCAATAAACTAAATTATAAATTATAGTAATAACCTACAACCATATATAAAATGGTTTTTGTTTATTTACGAAAATGATCACTAGAAACATCCATGCGAAATCTTTTTCATGTCCCGAGTCCTTCATTGTCTATGATTAACCTCGTTTCTCTCTGCACTACCATTTAGTCGTGACCTGAACAATTGATTTTACATTCCGAGGCCAACTCACTTTCTCCAATAAATGCGGGTTTTCCCAGAATCGATCTTCTTGATCAAAATCATGTAGTCTTAGCACAGTTTCAATATATTAGCATATTTAAACGGAAGCTTCGCGGCCGATGACAACGACACCTGGATAGAAGTGTCATCATTGGTCGCTCGCAGCAACAGTGACTAGGTAGACACCTAATGCTCCCATCGTCAGGTAGACACCTGGATAGACGTGTCATCACTGCCACTCAAGAATTTTTCAGTAGAAGACATTTTGACGTCCCGCTCAAAGACTTGCTGTAAAAATCTCCTCCAAGTTCCATCCAGCGAATGCCAATCATTGTTGAGAATGTCGGTGCGACAAGAATAGTATCGCGATGGAGCGTCAAAAACGTCATGACCATTCTCCCGGCCGATGAGAGATAACTCAAACACTGCTGGAAAAACGAGCTGTAGAGTCAACCAACAACTTAGCACAATGTGTTCAAGTCAAATGGGATAATAATGTCATCGGGAAATACGAAACGCGCGACACGGGATCGTCACATGGCAAACGGACCCTCCGTTTCTCGTTCACGTGATCAAATGTTCACTTTGTCTGCCAAATTACTTGTCTCTCAACATTTTGTATTCTGATTGTTTTTATTCTTGGCTCACTGCTAAATGCCATAACTTCTAATGACCGTATGGAAATTATGACCACAAAAAATCTCCTACTGAACCCCATTTACGGCCAGTAAAACCGACATTGATAAGACGACACGTTCATCGCAAACCAAATAATGCTCGTGCTTAAATTATTTGGTAAAACAAAGTCCAGAAAAGATTAAATGATTAGACCAAGTGCCACAACCAAGAAATCTTTTCGGTGATCCTCACAGGTGATTACAATAAATTTGCGATGATTGGCTTCGTTAGAGATGTGATAATCGCGTTAACACTTGACACTATTGATAAAATCGTTACACTGACAGTTGCAGTATGAAACGCTACTATCTTGTAGAAATTTTTTTAAATGAAAAAAAAAAATGTACAGAAGAATGATCAAGAGATTTCATTTTTCAATCACACCTACTTCACTAACCAACAAGTCCTTTTCCTCATCTTTCGCCACTAGCTTCCTCCTCTTTTTTCCCTCTAATTCCTGTTGTTCTAATTTCTCCAAAATCAATACTTTCTCCTTCTTTTCATCCACTTTCAATAATATTCTGAGTTGCTTATCCAATCGCATCATGAAAAATACATTAAGAAACAATATCCCAACGTGACATATAAAGTAATTCAACTGCCATACGTATAGAGTAGTACGAAGAGAGAGTAGCAGGAAGGAAACTGCGAGATAGGATATTGTGGATTGCATTACAAACCAACCTATAAAATCATAAAGTGGTTTGTAGCTGGCATAACGAGTGTGAAGGAATATTGGACGGATTTTGCGGCGAACATCTGTAGGTATGATTAATTATAGGAAAATGGTGAATTTAAAAGCAAACGTGAGGGAAATATATATATAACGAATACCTACCCCTGTGCAAGTTCTGAAGAAATGCGCTACTAATAAACATCACTGTAATACAAAAGCGCATTGTTAGCTGGCTTGCCAGTTGGAAACGTTTGCTTCAATCATTCCTTAAAGAACAAAAAAGCGCTCTCGCATAAACACATTACAATAATATCCTGGATAAAATCCATGCCAGAACGCGCTAGTCGCAAACGTCGCAAAAGTCGAGAAGAATGATGGCTTCTTCCCCGGTGGAACTAGACGCAGATAGACATAATTCTTTAACCATTTATTTACGTTCATGTTCCATGATTCAGCAAAAGATTTCAGATTATTTGCCGTTTCGTAAGCGACAATATCGATATTCGAGACACGGTTCCTATGCATCGGGGGAAAAAATTGATGATGCAATAAAGTCAGTATGACATTACAGAGAGACCGAAGAGTAAAATACAGAGATGAGCATACCAGAGCGGTTTGCCTTTGTCGTCATATCCATTAAACCCAAGTCCAACGACTATACAAGCACCTTCGGCAAGTAGCCATACGATATAGTACTTAAATCGTGCACAAAAGCTCGCAAGAAATATATAAAAGAATCTTATGACAGTAATTTTCATCCGGAAGGACAAACCCAAGTTAGCGATCATGGACAGAGCCGAGCCAAGTATCAGTTAAAGAAAAAACACAAACCTCGCCAAGAAATTCATGTTGGAATACTCTTCACTTAAAGTCCACTCCATCGGATAATTTTTCCCAAAGGTCATTAAGCACACAACCCAGAAACATGCAAACAAAAGCTTCTTAATGCCTGGTACAAATCCATTAGGTATAACTATCTTTGCTTCTTGTTTCATCTTTCGACTATTTTTCTTTTCATTCGCATAATCATTCTCTTTGGATTGTCCATCAGTCGTCTGGTTCCGTGTCTCATCAGAGGACAAAACTGGCGAGTTTGATGAGCGGGAACTTGCTGGTGAGTTCGAGAATAGGGCAAGAGTCGTGAAATCACGATAATCCGCGAATTCAAATGCGGGACCGATGAGAAATCCGCCAAAGAAGAATACGTAGCCAAGATATTCGAGAACAGATGGAAATCTTTGGATGCGCTTTTTCGCTTGATATTCCGAGAGTGTCTAGAAAATTGTGCGGAAACGTAGATGAAATGGAGAGATCAAAGCGATGAACGCGATAAATGGATAGAATCCAAATATTAAATATTAGTAACGCTTCTTTTGACAGCATCTTTAAGTAACATTAATGTTAATTTAATTTGTGAATATTACGTACACGTGCAAACAACTGCCCCTCTCTCCCGATTACGTGCCTACCTTAATGGACCGTTGTCCGTCATAGACATTAAACGCGAACGAGGTAAGTTTCGTGACAAGAACCATTTGGGGCCCTGATATATCAAAGCGGTCGTATGATATACGATATAGCTGGCGGTATATATGGCTGCATTTATTGATATGGAAGAAGGGTGAGAAGGTATTCAAGAGCCTCGGTTAATTGACTGTCTTGAGGATGACTTTTATGTAGGTTTTGCATAAAATGTGTTCATTGTAATTCGTGGGTGCGCACAAATGTGACATTTACATATATATATATATATACGGTGGGGATTGCTGGTAGGTATTCGGAAAACTTTTGTTCGTAATATTTCCAACTATTCCCATTCTTTATCCCTTCTGAAAAATCCAGTTTCAGCAAAAACCCACCTAATACTTAAATGTCCCATGGTAAAGGCAAAAACTAGAATTGGGCCCCATTTCCCGCTAACCGTATAGCTGATCAGGTAGACCACCAAAGCGCTAGCTAATAATTCATAGAATCCTCTCACTAGATTGAACAATCCGAGGTATACTAGGGCAGCGAAAGTTATCGAGAACAAATGCTTCAGATTCGGGCTTGGCGGGAGTGATTTGTACAGTAATGCTGCAGGGTAGGAAGCGAGAAGGACGAATAATACGCGCAGGTGATCAGGTGGAGCTTGAAGGGTCGAGGAAAGAAAACTGAAAAATGCATCGAAGAGTGGCATTTTAAGAGTGGATTAAGGAGGCACCAGAAAGGATGAGCAAGTGTGCTTGAGGGAACTTATAAAGTTGGCGTAAAGGGTTGTGCCAACGTATTAATGAGACGACGTCAGGCCTAATTCTATCGGCTGATTTAAGGGAAAAGATCGTGTCTAAGCAGTAGTCGCCCAACGTCCAACCCACAATATATATCAACGATCTCTCTTTACATTATATTTGAATGTCATTTTTCATACTATCTCCCCAAAGTCTGTAATATTAATTGTACATGGCACGTGAAATTGGCAAAGTTTGGGGGAAGGAACTTTAAACATCACGGGATGGTAATATAGTTTGACGTTAAATAAAATCACATGTTACAGTAATGGCAAATAATAATGAACGCCAGATCGTCGAATCAAATGTCTATTAAATGAATTTTTGCTCGCGTGGAGAAAAGCTAAATTGACACAAAAGATAGAGCATCCGATGATGATCTTCTCCAATAAGAGAATTTCTGCGGTAGTTCTTGGAACTATTTATCAATCAGAATCTTTGCTCTGGGTTTCCCTAATCGAATGTTTGTGAGAGAATGTACAATTTTATATTGCGCTACACAAGCTGTCCTTATCTGAGCGCGTGATCAATTTGTGTCTCCAATCGGATACATTCGCAATGTCTCAATTCATTATCTATCTCTGTGCAGATGATCTGCGGATCAATTGAATCTCTTGTTGGTTCTCCATACAACCCATTTTGCAAATGTGGTAATACAAAGGGACAACTAGGGTTTCCTTTTTTAAAAGTAACACCTTCTTTAAGCAGGGTTCATGCAGATGACTTTTTTCTAAAATAAGAAATAGTCGGCAAAATTTTGTTATCAGTTATCGTTAAATGCATTTGTTACACTAATGCCAAGAAAAGATCACCTGTTTTAGAAACACAAATAATGCGTTCCCTGTTTCTCCAATATTATAAATAGTCTGTTAGTGTCGACGTTTGTATTTAATTAATTGTTACATATCTATATTGTAGTGTAGCCCTCCTAATCGGCTAGAGAACAGGACTAGGTTTTATAAGCTCCAATTCATGCTTAGTACATTGCAAAATAAACATGGGTTTACAATAACTACAGAACAATTTTGCAGATAAAAGTTCAACCCATTTGACAGCCAGTTTCTTATTTATCTTTATCATGGTGACTTGTATCCATTTGATTACTAGTCAGGCTCGTTATAAAAAAACAAAAAGATTTTTTTATTTTTCCGGATGTGTATGTGTGTGTTTTTTTTTGTGCACATATCACTATATATGTATGTATATATGCATATGGATAATAAATGCATTCATGCGCCAATTCTGGATATCTACTTGTTCAACAATTGACTTAATTCGGGATTACTTATCAGCTTTACTATTATTGTCAGCAACTTCCAACCATGGCTGTTGCAATGGTGATCAGACAAATGGGGGTAAGTTTCGGGAAAGGGTTTTCCTATTGCTTTTTCGGTAACAGAGATTACTTTGGGTTCTGTATGAAATCCAAAAAAACATATCCCCCGCATAAACTCTATCATCTCCAGGAGAAAGAAGATGTAGATTTTTTTGCTGAACAAGTCATTGAGAGATCTTACAGCTTGAGAAGATCTTGAGAATGGATTAAAAAAGTTTTTTACTCCACATTTGATGTGCAGAGCACGCAATAACTGATAAGATGAGATGGTGAATCAGGTGTCCGTAAGCCATAGCGGCATTGTGCGATGATATGGCTTTTTCTAATTATAAATCTAATTGAAGGGAATGAGGTTTACCAATGACTATTAACTATTCGAAAGCGACTAATAACCAAACGGCTAAATGAGTAGCGACTAACGCTTACCGACTAACGCTAACGGCTAACGCTTAACAATTAATCAAAGATTGACTAATAAACGTTGGCATTAAAAAAAGCTAATGATTAAAACAAACGGCACAAGATTACACTGATAGTGAATTGTAGTACAGGTTATGTTTCACACTTACTCTTTATCTTTATTGCCCAATTTCTACTCGCATTTACCCTATCAATCAATCGCAAAGAGCCCTGTGCTTCATGTTGTTGAAGTAAACAAAGGACAAACCTCGACTATATATAATCTAGACTTATTTGCATGAGCCGCACACCATAGCAAACTATGACCACACTGCCTCGATTATAAATCCAAATAATATATGGTGCACATCTGAAACTTCTTGTGTAAATAAAAATCCCACAGTTGTGCAGCATATTCACTAATAGTGTTATTATTAAATTAGTTTCACCGTTCTATTACCTTTATTTTCTCCCAATACTTTCCCCTATACACTTCCCTGCCGAACACTCGCTCTCACACAAATTTCCCCACTTTCCTTATATACAATTATATTTTCATTCCCACTCTTCCCCGTCTATCAAAACTTGCTTCCCATATAAACCTCTTAATTAACCACCTAGTATACTAAAACAATGGTTACCGTCTTCCCCTCAGACATTTGGGCTCCGGGACTTGACGTAAACGTCAGGCGCATAGTCAGTGCCGAAAATATTACCTCCAATAATAATAATGATGTCAAAAAAAGCAAAAGTATTCCTGTCAAAATTAATACCACGAATATAAGTCCAGCAGAGACTATTACTGACACCGTTCTTGTCGAGTCTCCAACAAAGGATATGCCAGAATCAAGCTTTTCGAGCGATTCAGCTAGAAGCCCTCCATCAACACTGTCGGCATCAAACACGAGCACTTCTTCGCTTGCATCAAACCACTCTACATTAATTAACTCATCGAATAACTCTATATCGAATGGCACAAGCAACTCCAAGAAAATCACTCACGTGCTTCAAAATGTAACCAAGCTCTTCAGCAATCATCATCACAATAACCGTCCGCCCAGTACTCCAGGCGCTTCTCCTCCAGTAACACCGAATAGCGAGAAAGGAGAATCCGACTGTATTGGCGATAAGAAGAAGCTAAAGGTTATGCTAGTACCCAAGTTGATGGAAGTGACTAAAACATGGAAAAATGAACATGGTTCAAAGTCGCTATACGACGAATGTTCATTGGCAAAGAAGTATGGTGTATGCGAAAAGGGATGCATTGGAAAAGGTGCCACGGCTGTGGTTAGATTGGCACATAAGTTGGACAATTCGGATTGCGAGAAGACTTACGCTGTCAAGGTAAATAGATGTCAAAATGAGAAACATCCAATCATATAATGTTCGATTGCTGTATTTACGAATATAGTTTGCTGATATTTTTTTTATTCCAAATAATACAGGAATTCAGAAGACGATGTAAAAGCGAATCTGAAAGAGATTACGTCAAGAAATTAGCTAGCGAATTTTGCATAAGTTCTACCTTGGATCATGTTAACGTCGTTCGGACTGTGGACTTGGTACAAGACGAAAACCATAATTGGTGCGAAGTCATGGAATATTGTGCTGGTGGGGATTTATATACCGCTATTAAAGCTGGCCATATGACATCAGTGGAGATCAATTGCTGTTTTAAGCAACTTATCTCTGGTGTTGCTTATCTACATTCGATGGGAGTTGCACACAGGTATGTAACTTTAACTTAATTTAAACCGAAGCTCCGTTCTATGTGTTGACGGTTCCATCTCCAAATTTGTTTCTTATATTTTGATTTTTGCTTCTTTTTGCTAATACAGAGACATAAAACCCGAAAATCTTCTCCTTGACGGTAGTGGTCATCTGAAAATCACCGATTTCGGTGTGTCAGACGTCTTCCGTACATGTTGGGAAGAATGTGCTCATCTCTCCAAAGGCCTCTGTGGTAGCGAACCCTACATCGCTCCTGAACAATTTGCAACAACCGAATATGATGCCCGCCTCGTAGATGTCTGGGCGTGTGGCATAGTATATTACTGTATGATATATCAAGGCATTCCGTTCCGCATGGCATGTCCAAACGATCCACATTATGCTGCATATTTAGAGGCGAGGAAAACAAGAAGCTATGAACAAATTGAGCGTTTACCAAGAGGATGTAGAGACCTGTTATATCAGATACTAGAACCAGATACAACGAAAAGAATTACGATAGACGAAATTTGTATGGACTTATGGTTTCAGGAGATTGAAGTATGCACAAATCCGCCGTATATGTTATTGCAGGAACATCAGCATATTTGTTTGAAAGAGAATGGGAATGGTAAACTATAGAGTTAATGTGTGTAATATATATGAATCTTAATGTGATAACAAACAAGTTTTCTGGAGTTTTGTTCGAGAGCTGGCTCCATGCCTTGACCACAAGATGTAGAGGCAAAACTCCAAATATGTAATAAAGAATGACATATACCATTTATAGACTATATTATTATTCACAATCATCATAATCATCATCGAACGAGTAATGTTACTATAACTTAATTATTATTATTATTATTACAACTTGATACTGTTAGTTTTCATATCTGCCCCCCCTCCACATTGACAATATAAATATAAAATCCGATCCGATGTCATTTTTATTAGTTCTAGTTTACATTGCTCTTTGTTGTCAAAGACAATATAGAAAGTCTATGTAATTAAAAGTCATTAAATATATTATCAACATCAACTATATATTGGACAAGTATCCTGTTTACAATCAAACTTGTTCCGCCGTAACAGTTGAATTATTCCCGGGATCAACCCGATGTACATTAGCTTTCTTTACAGCTACCACAGCAAACAATCCCCAACAGATTGCAAGCAATAGTATCAGTAATCCAACATAAATCGTGCTTCTCTTCCTTCTTTGCATTAATGCTTCCTTCGAGTAATTGGTATCATCCTCCATGACCATCATACGCGTCCCATTTGTAACCTCCTCATCTCCCAAATGTCCATATTTGACGGTATCATGATAGTTGCTACCATCATCTCTGGAATTTATACGTCCATTTTCGTATGTTTTGTCTTGCCACCAGAATATCAAAGTTGCAACAACGCAAAGGAAACTCAACGCAGCGAATAATCGCAAAGCTCCGAGATCATCGTCTTCGTGTCCGAGTTCGATCCCATCTGGAGTTTTGGTGTAGTTGATGTGCTTGGCATGGGCGTCGAGAACGAGACCAGCTACAGTTTGGCTTAGTGTTGCTCCGATATTATCTAGAGATTTGTATAGTCCAAGACCAGTGGACACATGTTCTGTAAGAAGAGGAACAAGGCTTACTACTGTTAAAGGGGCAAGAGCGAATGCTATGGCAAAAAAAAGAATTGGAGGAAACGGGTGGATCAATTGTGTTGGGAGTAAGAGGAGGAGATATGTCAATAGCATTGCAATTGCTGCAGCCATTACTGAATATATCAAACGAGTGGAATGAAAATTTGTGGAATTGCAAAAATTAGAATAAAGGTCAGTATGCAGTTTTCATGGCTGATGAGAAAAAAAAAAGATAAATAAATAAAAATTTTCGTACTAACATATAGAACATCGTTTTCCATACTTGTCGAGAAATAGTCCGAGAAAAGGATATACAGCAACGGGCAGTAGTAAGATTAAAGACGCATCCCACGCAGCAATCAAGTCCGACTGGTTGAACCGATGTTTGACGATATTGCTTTTGGAAAGAACGTCATCGAATTAATATGAATGCTTCGACATTATTATTCTACCAAACCCATCTTTTTGTTACTATATTACACGTCATTCTTCCTAGTCTGTTCTTCTCATTGGATTTCGATATCACCAGTCCCCCTCGCTATGTCATTCTTCCCACATCCTGCTCCATTTCTCTACCGCAAAGGTTCTTGTTTTCTTTTTCTTTTTCTTTTTCTTTCTCTCCCACATACAACCAACATTTACCTTGACAAATGTACAAATGGCGGCATCGCAGTTCCAAACAATAATACAACAACCAAATACCACCAGAACATATTCGACAACTCAAATATCGCACTCCAATGCACGGTCTTCTTCTCCATAACCTTATGGAATAAGGCTCCGTCATTCCCTTGTACTTTTCTGTTCCCAGCATGTCTTAGAAGAAATAAATATACTATATTCATTACCCATGAGAGAAAGCATGTAAATGTTGCGACTATGAAGGGTGTACGGTAAGAAAGTTCTCCGCCCAGGGAAAGCGGAACAGCAGTTATGGAGGCAAGAAATGATGCTAGTTTTCCCACTGTCAACCCAGAAGCCAGGGCAAATCCCAAGCCATTGCCTTGAAAGAATTGGACTATTATTGTCTCTTGGATTATAGTTAATGGTGCTAGACCCATGCTGAAATAATCAAAGGTATATATAGAAGTCGTTATAAAAAATAAGAAAAATGGGGGGACAATGTTAGAGAATGGGGGCCGATATCGATAACGAAGTTAATATAATACGTAAAAGCGACGGATAGCAAATTATGAGCAACGCGTATTGACAATAAGGTGAAACTTCTTACTATCAAACGAAAGTGAAATATCAATGAGGAATGAAAATACGATGGCATCGTTCTACACTTACCCAAACACAGAAAATCCTACAATCATTGCCCAAACTTGTCCAGACCAACTAGCAGCCGTGACAACAATCATTCCTATCAAAATTACAGTAGTGACCACTATCGAACTGTTCGTTGTTCCTACTTTTGCGATCAATAGTCCAGAGACGATTGGTATTACCGTGTTACAGAGTGTTAGAGAGGCAATAAGAAGAGAGAATTGGGTGTTTGTGAGGTTTAAGCGCTAGAATTTGGAGAGGTCGGGGGAGGTGTGAAAAAGAAAAAGAAAAATAGGAAAAAAGAGTAGGTATAACCTATCAAGTTTCGAGAATCACCCGAATCACGTATTGAAAGGAGCCTCAAAGAGAAGAGGGAAAAAAAAGAAAGAGGTCCAGAAATAATCGTATATACAACTACTCCAATTACCCCTGTCATTATTTTTTCTCATCTCATTATATAATGTTTCGAAGCATTTACCCTTTCTTGTTTGATTTTTCAATCTCTTATCCATCTCTTTCCCTTCCTCACCTCCATAAGAATGCCCTTAAGTGGTCCAATTATATGACTTGAAAAATGACTCCCGACGCCAAAAGTACAGGCGCAAGCCATAGCCAACATTCTAAGTATTTTTTCCATCCTGTCCGCGCTCAAACCGTCTGCTCGTCTTTTATGTTCTCTTTTCAGTTCCGCTACATTTCGACCACGTTGGCTTTTTATCAACCATTCCTTGTCTTCTGTTTCAGCAGGCGATAAACCATTTTCTCGTACATCAAGAGAAGATAAGCTAGCAGTAGGCACCAAACGATCTATTTGGAAAAGACGTTCATCTTCGTCGTCAGTTTCTGTGTCCGAGAGCGCCGTTGTGGGTATTGTGGTCAGGTTTAATTGTTCCATCAAAAAAAGAAGCGTTAAGAGAGAGGGGAAAGGCAGAAGTCAAATGCAATGCCGCTGACGGTATGTAACTTGGGCTTGAGTTTTAGCAACAGTAAAGTTGTGTTGAGTGATTCATGGGACGCACTTTAAAACTGAAACTTGGTTCATTTGCGTAGTACACATTAATTTGATAGCACTTACCATCTTTGGTATTCTCGTATCCGTTCGATTGTATAATTCGCGTTTGCTCAAATCGGCCCGTTCGATCCGCGACATGTGTTGATCAAAGCATGTCAATTCGCCGAAAGTTTCTTAGCAATATCGAGCTTCTCTTCAAAGTTTCTGCTTCCCAAACGTAAATAGTGATACCAAATAGAAGCCAAGTATTGATATGCTTATATCACGTGTACATTATAATGTGGTACATCTCATTGGCGAGAAGCAAGATCACTATTAAATAGATCCGTCGTACGAAAACAGTGCGTCATCAGTATTAAATTGCGTATCACTAACCTTTAAAAATAACGTCACTGTCAATACACCTGCAACGCTAACCCGAGATCTTCACTCTCTCGAGAGAAGATGTAAAAAACCCATCAGAAATAGTCCACGCTTTAAATTGAAACAGAAACTTCATATACTTCATACCTCTCCCTGTTTAACTCTCCCAGTTTTATGGTAATAGTCATGGGACATGTTATGGTACAGGGGTTCGAAATGTTGTCAATAGTGGTGGTCAACATGCCGATCATTATTTTTATACATGAAATTCTTGCTCCGGCGGCAGTTACTCCTATCGCAACCCCCTATTGATGCAAATTACCCCCACATGATTTATATGCAGAAAATGCACTTGAGAAGTTTCTTTATCATGTTGTATAAACGTTCACTTCCTTCTTCTCTTAGCTCGCTAAAGATGTTCGTTCGAAGTTAGAGTAGCCTACCCCCTGTAATTATAATAAATATACTAGTACTAGTACTAGTGCTAATACTAACACTACGACTGTTGAACTTGCGTAATAGTAGTAGTAGCAAGTAGTGGAGCTGTAAGTATTGATATTGTCATCTCAAGATGTTATTGCTTTGTCGAGGAATTCGCTTCTCATCGTAATACTCATACTTTGTGATTGTGTTGCAATTATACTAATACTAATACTAATATTAATTTGTTACAGCACTTTGGATGGTATGTATATTGTTATGGTAGAGGCGAATGTAGGATTCTGAGTTATTGGGATTATAGCAGGACTGAGGGAAAACTAGATAGAGGGAGATAAAAGTTTTACCCAGCAAATAATAGCAGTAGTCGGTAATAGTACCTTTTGTTCACAGCTAACGGTTTCCATTATTACTATTTCGTCTATTACAGCAACCGTTTGGAGAGACGGCGGATGGAAGATTCTGCGAGTATAAATTAATACGTGAACTCTGAGACTATTTTCCATGTTTCTAACACTAACGTTCTTTCATTTTCTTCATATTAATAGGACGTATATTAATATTATAATTAGTATTATAATCAGTATTTGCAGTAAGTGCAAACTTTGTCTTATTATTATAATTATTTGTAATCGATTACTATTATTTACTATTACTATTACTATTACGAATATTATGTCAATGAATAAAAGTGCGTCAGTTTTCTAAAAAAGTGTGAGTGGAGGGAGGGTGATGTCGTTGAGTTGAATTGCTGATATTAGTGACTCTCGATAATCTTGTTGATAGAAGTATGCACACACACTTTGTTGTTGCTCATCGACCGTCTCTTTTTCATTGTGTTGGTCAGTCGTCCGTAATGTACTATATAATCTAGTGTTGCGAATCCAATCACAAACTTAAATTATCATTCAGAGAAAAACAAATATAATCCGATTTTTAATATTAATGTTTTATTTCTTATTATTACTAGTCAATCTCTACACTACCATTCTAATGACCCGTGTGTATGCTTTAAGAGAAATTAGACAAATCTGACATATTTCAGTTAACTGTTGAATCAGTACTGCCTTCTAGCTTATGGACTAAAGGTTGTTGACGTTATGCTCAAGGTTTCAATCCTTGCCCGTATGTCACTTTCGTCTTCATCAATGGGCAAAGATGTACCTTTCGTCATTACGTCTTTCACTTTATGCACAACTGCGTCAAAAAACCTCCTCAGTTGAAGTGCCTTCTTCAGAAGATCTTCTACTTTATGCTCTTCAACTGGCTTTAATGGTATGTCCATATCTAATATTTCATACGCTTTAAAAAAGGTACCATTAAAGGTGTCTATAACTGAAATTGTCAAATGTGTCTTTTTGTTCAAGATCGCAATACTTGGTATATTATTTAACAGTTTTTTTAATATACTCGCCTCATTACAATCTGTTGCTTTCCCTTCAAAGCATACAGCACGGAGCATATCATGCCCATCTTTGCATGAACGGACTGACTTCCTCCAATCGTCACGATGCTTCGGCTGTCCCATTTCTAATGATGAGAACTCACAGAAAGCGAGTTCCACATCAGTATCCAGAAAAGTTAGGCGGATACACAAGTCGGGCTTGTTCGGAGATGCAGCTGCCCCCATCTGCACCTTCCGAAGTCGTGACGATTCGCTCATGTGCTCTCCCCTGTAATGCAACAATAGATTTGCGTATGTTAGTATGCCTGTCACAAGAGAATTAAACAGCCAATAAAAAACAAATATTACCATATACGCGCAAGCGTAGCTTCGCAATTACCCAAAATTGGTATAAGGATTTTTGATATAGCTTCTACCACGAAGGCGTTTTCACTATAACTTGGATCCTCCAAGTTTGGTGTGCATGTCCAGATATCCCGCCTAAAACATTCAATAGATACTTACAATTAATACTATTACTATTGCTATAACAAATCAATGTAACTGATAGCTTGATACTTACAATCCATTTAACACCCCAAATACCGTCCCCGCGTCTGCCCTGTACTGAGGATCTTGAATGCCACGTGGGTAGCTGATTCCATCCATATCTCTTAGACGAAATTCAGTCCCCATCAAATGCTCATATGTGTTTACAAATTTGGTGAGCAATTTTCGGATCTTCTGTGGCAGATCGACTTCCCCCGATATCAAAGAGTCGTTTTCTTTTAACAACTCTACTACGTCCGCAGGCAGCTGACTCATATGGGAGTCGCCAAAATTCGTCAAGTCTATCACCCCAGAAGCTAGCGGATCGGTTGGGTGAATCTTGTACTTGTTCTTGTTCACCTTTTCTACTATTTCTTTTAAGATCGTCCTCACCGCTATATAAGCCGCCTTATCTCTCTCACTGCAAGAAGACGACTTTTCCATTTCGATCTAGAATATTTATTATAATCCGTATTAGAATTAGTGCGATTTATATTAACATTAATACTAATATAATAATAATGATAATATTATTACTAATAAACCAATTACTTACACATCGCTCAATAATTTTCTCGATATTTTCCTTTATTAAGCGCGTATTCTCATTCTTTTCGCTGGCTGCGCGCTAAAATAAATAGGGTGTTATGTTCAGCTGTATTGATAACAATAATAATAAACACTCCATTGAAGCCTCACCTCTCGCTTTACTTTTTGGTAAATTTCCGTAAATATGTCTTTCTAAAATAGCAAATTATTAACTTCGGTTATTAAGCGTTATACAATAATAAAAGCATTTCACAATGTGTCATCGATATCAGACAGCGACCAATCAAATCAGTGTCATTCGTATTATTATTATTAATATTATTATTATTATTATAAGTTTCATGCCGCTGACTACCGACGGGGTACTCAAGGCATAGCCCGTAGCAGCTTAACGCAAAAGCACCTCAGGATGCCAAGCGCACGACGACAAAACTCGTACAACTAATCCATTGTGTCTATGGAGCCGGCATTCTTTGTTCCATAGACTAAGACCTCGCACGACGACGCCCGGACTAGCGTACTGACGTGGGCCCACGTCATAACCACAATTAACTACACATTTCGTATCATCATTAATATTAACGACAATAATTCAAATAACAATACTCACTTTGTTTACGGTACGGAATTTATGCAACACTTTTCTCAGCTTTTCCCCCGCGTATTGCATCTTGTTCTCCTCATAGTATTTCGCAGCAGCCTCTGATTCATTCTTATATGCTACGGTCGCACTGGCTACCGTCACATTCGTATCCGCGAATGATCGTTTTCTGGGAAGGTATGTATGCTCCAACCAGTATTTGAAGAATGATCTCGCCTGAACCTCATTACGGTTTTTATAAAAGTGATTATTTTCGATGGGGGTGCTTTCGACGTGGGTGTTTTCGATATGTTGCATATTTACAAATGAGAAAGTGGTAATAGTAATGATATTAATATTGATAGTAGTTAATGAAATTCTGAAATAAAGACTTAGCTTTTCCGCTGTTCCTCTGTCTGTCTTTTATAAAATAATAGCGTCGGATCATAATTTCAAACGGCCGAAATTTGGTAACGTTTAACTGGTCAAAATTTGACATTATTAATATTAGTAATATTAATATGAGTATCATGTCGCAAAGTTATTAATAGAAATTTGCCACCTCATTGTGGCGTCAATTTCACAAGACATTCGGCTGTTAAGACATCATGATATTATGTAGCAAATGCAACCCATATTAATATCAAGTTGGGCACATTTAAGATAAAAGATTATGATAGTAGTAATATTAGTATTAGTATTAGTACAGTATTATTATTATAACATATAATTAGAATCACCAGACTTTTTTATATCCGTGACTCAGTTGAGCGGTTTAGCAAAAAAAGCGAGCTGACGATACAAGTTGGTTAGTTTTGGCAAAGTTATCATCAGAATGACAATCAATAAATGTTCGGATGTTTGCACTTAGTGAAAGGAAAAACTTTTGTGAGCTACATTCGCTTCCACATCTGGTGCCGTGTATCAAAGTCAGGTCTACATTTCAGCTTGCAATGCTTACATTAAAAAAAAAAATCCGAAATCCTGTTTCGAGAGAGAAAATTTTTTCTTGTGATCGGAGAATTTGGTATTAGTATTAATAATTCCGGGTACTTACACCCAACATACCGGATAAAGTTAACTAAAACATGATCGCCACAACTTATGGTAATTGTAAATGTTAAACATCACCCCTAAATAGTAATATATAGTAATAGTAAGTCGTCACAGTGCACCTCCCTTTTTTTTATTTGTTGCAGAAAATGATCAACACAATGTAGCAGTGATACAAAAACCCGTAAGTTTCAAATACAGTATCAAATTTCAAACACGCACACATGTTATTGCTATAGATCCAGTTTTATGTGTGAAGAAAGAATTCTTTGTGAGGCACTATTATTTATTTATTTTTCAGTGTTTGAGTTAGATCTGTTTGTTTCATTTACAATAGCTTTGAAATAGCAGAAGAGCTTCAATTGTTTAGCGTAAGCATGTTGAACAAGTTTAGAAAATGTAAAGACGTATCTAATTCAACAAGAGGGTGCCAGCAGCTATTTAAAAGCTGTTAAAGTTTGGAAAAATTCATTCGCGAAAAAAGGATAAATTCGATGAAACAAAGTAGTAGTAGTATAACACAATTCTTAGTTAACTATTAGGAATATTTTATGTCAAATCTTTTCCGTAGAGTTGGCTGGAAAGTATAATAAAGGAAAATCTGTACATTATTAAAATGTTTTTCCTAATAAGGGAACCCTCCATAAATGCAAAACCCCATAATAATAAATGCAACGCAGCAGAGGTGTTGCATTAGGGAGGTGTCACTGTATTATATTTTAACGTTTCAACGCAGTATGCAACTATTGCGAGTATGCATGAAAATGAGCTGGCGCATACACTGAGCATAACAATAACAGAAGTAAAAAATAGTAGTAATAGTAAGAAATATAATAATAATAAAAATTAAAAATCTATTTAACTGGTTTCAACACGTTTATTATCGTGTCAAATTTGACTTTTTACAACCACTAAATCACATACTAACAGAACCGCTTAGATTAACAAAAAATTTTAAACAATATGAGCAATTCCCAAATTACTTACATGGATGTCGACAATGTCGTCGCTGAGGATTTTATCGACAGCGTCGTCACTGATGATTTTATCGACAACTTTGTTGAAAATTTCGAAGGCAATTTTGAGAACACATATTCGACCGTACTTGCAAACGCCTTATTACGAGATAGTTATGATGAAAATGATGATGAAAATGATGACGAAAATGATGACGAAAATGATAATGAAAATGATCTAAATCGGGATGAATATTACAGTTCTTCTAGTCAAGTTCATTCCATAACGCAAGAAAAAGAAAAAGTCATTACACCTACATCAACTTTCACCCCATGTATAGTTTTACATGTAATTGACGGAGAGGTGAAACGCTGCAACAGTACAGACCAACCATGTTCAATACGTCAACTTGGGGGAATGTGGGAGATAGACGGGGATGACGATGCAGTTAAAAATAAAGACACACACCATTCGCTCGGAGTATGTCACCAGCATTTTATGTTTGATCAGAATCAACTTCATCCTAAACAACATAAAAGCCGTAATCGGATTGTCGATGGTGACTTTGTTCTAAGTCATAGTTGTCTTTTTTGCAATAAAATAAAAACATTTTCTTTTAGTCGTGGTATTGGTTGCAGTGAACATATGGCAAAGGTTAATGGATATAATGTTCAAGTACCTTGCCTAGGCGCTGATTGTCTATTTACTGAAGGATCAATTGCACAAAGAAATTCTGCAGGTTATCGTGCACGTTATATCTGTACAACTTGCTTTCAGCAACAGGGTGGACATTTACGCGAAAAAGTTGGAAGAAATAAAGAATTTGTACCTTGTGGAAAACGTGGGGAACACCGTAATAGTAATGATGTATGCAATGCATTATCTGATATAGGAAGATGGATAATGTCTGTATCAGAATCAGGTGATAAA